CTCATAAATATTATCATCATCTAGCTAGTATTTCATATAAATATAGCCGATTAGAGTTTAATTTATAAATAAATTAAAGCAACAATTTTCTGGAGTCAATTCAAATTGCTTACTAAAACTAAATTCCAGAAAATAGAAACACCACAAAAGGTTTGAAATAAATCCAGAAATCTCCAGTAGCCATAATGAGATGGAAGTGCAATTAGTTGCAACTAACATAATTTCCACGACCGTATAACTTCTATATAAACGTACATATTATCACCATATAATCGGTCGTATAGTTGATTCCGTACTTTTTACAGTATAATAAGAAAAGAGTACAGTCCTTCACTGTATAGCGTATATACCGCTGTATAAAACGTATTTTAGGACAAAATTATAGCGCAATATCTATAGCCAAGGTGCAAATAGTTTCCTTCAATTTTGATTTTTCTTGTTTTTGTCTAAAATTCATCCAAATTCACAAGAGATACGTAGTTACGTAGTGTGGATATCAAGATCCACCCGACCTACGTATTTTTAGTCTTTGAGAAGATAAAAGGAGGGAACGCAGATCTTCGTATTGACGGATGATTTAATGCTTTTATTGCTATCAAAAGAAGTTGGTATAAAATGTTGATATTGGAGAAAAAAGGTGAATACAAAAAAACGAGCTATAGTGGATTCTTAGGCAAATACAAAACCCTAATCAAACTTGATGCCTTGGCATCCAAGCTGGCATGAATAGACTTGGAAAAAGGTCCTTTTCTAGTTTATTTTCCCCTTTGATTACTTCTCATTATTACATATATTTCTTGTCCATTAGCTACTCCTTTGCCTCTGGCGTGTTCTTACGGCCAACTTGCAAAACGATATAAAACCACCGATATGAAGAAAACACTCTTCGACTCTTTTTCATTGATAAAACAAAGCGGCATTACAAAGCTAGGAGCAAGACAGATAGAAAGAAACTAGTAGTTGAAAGACGAGGGAACAAGCTCCCAGTTCTGAACAAGAATTCAACTCACAACAGCGAGCAAACGAATTTATTTAAGCAACACGACCCAACTCTAAAAAAAGATACAAGACACCAACCATTAATAATCCCGAGGAAGAAACCCGACGTGTTTGAGTGCCATACGAACTCCCTTCTCAGTCATTTCTTTCTTCTGATCCTCGGAAGTATCAGCCATGTGGATGGTTGGTAAGAGATTAGCAACATAATCTTGAATCTCACTTTCCGATGCGGCGCCTTGGAAGAATTTCTTCTCGAGAATGTGTTTTTTGGCAGAATTGTAGCCCTTGTAATAAGCACGAAGTGGATGGTCTTCCTTTGGATCGTAAGAATCCAAGCTATCAACATGGACATCCTCCTTGGTGTTTCCGGTCTCTCCTACAATCGGTGGTGGATCCATGGAGCTTGTGCTTCCTACTGCATTTGGAAACGAAGGGTTTCTACGGTTGGTGGAGAACAACCTACGAAGACTCATATTTTATTTTTCTTTACTTTGGACTGTCTTTGGTGATGAAGATGGTAAAGGATGATAATAGATATATATAGTGGCACATTTCTACTATTATTTTAATTTTTAAAATTATTTTTATATTATGCATGTGAAAATATCTAAATGTCTCCTCCAATTCTTCGGAAATTAGTAGCTTAAGCAG